AGGCGTCAGTACTTAAATCGATGTGTCGATCTGCCCGGGTTTCGAATCCCGCGGCCGGTAGACCGTAGATTAGCTATGCTTGTACGGAGGATTGGCACCCTCTGTGCAGGTATGGTAGGGTGGAAGAATGTTGGCTTGGGTCAATGTGAGAGATTGACACCGGTTGGCATTTGACCACCCCCCTAATTAATGAGGTTTTCCAGGTTTCCCTCATTCCTGCACTGAATGGTGGTTAGGGCCTACCAACATAAGTCGTTCCTGGGCGCAAATGCGGCCTGCTTAATAATAATATGCCGCCTCCTCTCCCGCACAAGTCTCCGACTTCTGGGCTAATTCTCGTAGTTAGAATGAGGAATAGAGATATTATTATTATATTATTATTATTATTAATTATATAATTAATATTCAAATCTCCGCAGAAAAATATTTAGAGTATTTGATACAAATTTCTAGTGTCAAAAAGCTGATTTAGAAACAGTTCAAAGTCACCTGTAGGAGGACGATAGACACTAAAGACACATATGCTTCTTCTTCCAAATACTAATTTAACCACACTACACTCGAAGTGCATTTCCAGGCAGAGTTCACACACATTAATCGTTTCAGCTTCTCACTTATTATTCACTAATATTGTATTATAATCAGGGGTAACCATGAAGGAAATTTCATCTTCACAACACCAATGCCCAAGAACACTAACTATTGTAGGATTTTTTTCAGCGAGTAGAAATTTTGTTAGCAATTGACTGGACCTTCAATTGCACCATATGGAATACTGTATGTTGACTGCCAGCAATGTAGTTGTACTGTCGCAAACGTTTTTACTTAGGATTTCTCCTATCTCAGACTTTTTTCTATCAAAAACATTTCGGATACACGCATTAACAGGCTAGATTGAGGTATCCAGCACTTTATCATGATTAGCCCTCGGCACAAGAACTTTGAATGGAGAATATCGGTCAGGGTGAATTGAGAGGAATACACGTGACCTCTGGGAAAATGTCTGTAGATTATTAACTGTAGTATTCGGGTTTAAAATATAAACATGTAAAGCAATAATTCTCTCTACGCCTTCAACAGTAGATGGTCCAGTAAAATTACCAACTATTACTTTGTTTTCTAATTTTTTTTTATTTTTTATATGTAACCTTTTTCCATGTTCCTCCACCACTGCTTTCACTCTCATATTTAGTATTATGATTATTCTCTCTGATATACAACTCTGCCTCTTTGATAGCTTTACGAACATCTTGAGGAGATATCTTATTTTTGCAATGAACGTACTATAGTAGTCGCGAGCGTTTCTTTACATTTGTTTTTTCCGTGCTTGATGTTTTTGTCAATTGTTTCGTTAGACTTTAAGGAAGTTTTTGTTCATATTTTTTTTAAACAGTACAGCTGTTCGCTTAATAGTTTACTTTTATCTTTTAATTCGACAATTAGCAAATACTTTTGTTTAATAACATATTTAAAAATATGCATGTCTACCCTGTTGTCTGATGAGGCAATAAGATTTTCCATAACATCAAAAAGCCGGTATCAGATGTGTCAGTCCATTTGATATCATCAGGTTTATCGCAGCATTTCGCTAGAGATTTATCTGTAACTTGATATTTTAACTGCTATAGTTATAAACTAAATATTCAAATCACCGATATTGCTTATCCTCTACAACCGAAGGAAATCCACAAGAAGAAATTGCTACTAATTTAAGTAGAATGAAGAGCAGACTTGCAAAATAACCTCCACATTCCAAATTGTGGGCTATGGCACAAATAACTCCTTATGTTCCATCTCAAAACGATAGAGTTTTTCAACCTGAAAGAAACAAAAAAATACGCGAATTTCTTTCTCGATACAAAAGATATTTTAAATTAAGGAATATGCCGAAGTCTACATTTTTACATAATAAAATTGAAGGAGAAATCCGAAAATGCTGTAATAATTTTACTAAAATAAAAAAAGAATAATAAAAATTGGATAGTTCACAGCTAAACACTCTGTATAACTGTAAATTGAAATAATGTTTTCTAAAATTAATATTGAGTTTTGCTGGGACGCTCTGTATGTGCAAATCTGGATATGTGAAAAATAATTTCCTTGTTTTATAAATAAACGATGACAAACCAATTTTTCATGTGTATAACTCTTTAGTACCCTCCATTCTATTCTGTATTATTTAAAAGATCAATGACTACGATGGGCCGGGACTTCCCAGCAGGTTAATCCCATGTTGCAACATACGTAAAATGTCTACTTTTATTTATCAACATTAATTAACTGTTATTACGGAAAATTATTTTAGACAAAATAAAACAATTTTAATTGTGCAAAAAATACGTCTCAGTTTTGTCAACATGATTCTCAAAATAAGTAAGATATGTGGTAAACATGAATAATTCCAGAACAACAATAAATTGAAGAAATTCATCCTTGACTCGACGGAAAATTCATCATCTTGGGTATAAATAGCCTCAATGTATGTAAAAGAAGAAGCAAAGTTGTCTTCACTTACGTATCAAGCCTGTGCCAAATTAAGTGCTCGCAGTTTGAGTATTCGCCTTACATTATGGACCCAACAAAATTACTAACTGTAAGTATAATCTAGAAGAGTTTAGTGTAGTGATTTTCGACTATAGTAGTGTTTTGTTTTTCTTTAACGTGCCTAATTACTGGATTAATTAACTCGAACCAAAGTGACAAAGTAGATTTTTATTTCGCATTTTCTGGAAAATGATTTAATAATTATTATAAGACAATACTGTCAACAAAATTTTGAAAATTCATTTGTATAAACACTTTGAAAGTTTGAAGAATTTTCATCTTTTTAATTGTTTTAAAATTTCCTTAAAAGAAATACTTCATTTCAAATATTTTCCAAACGCACATTCTTCTAACAGGAAAATCGAGATATTCTGAATCATTTTTATCATTTGTCAGTAACGTATAATTTTTTTAACTATAGATACTTGTTCTCGCCAAAAAATATTTTTTAAGGAAAGATTTACACCTCGTACCTAAAAAAGTAAACATTTTTCGAATATCGTATACCCGGTGTCCGTTTTTCGCGGTGTACCTTTAGGATTTCACTTATCTTAATATATACAAGGTCAGTTAAATTAGGGCAAAATAATGAATCTTAATGGATCTTTTTTGTTTAGAAGTTATCAATGAAAAACTAGAAATTTTGATTTTTGTTTATATTTCTTTCATGGGAAACGAAACTTTTTTAACTCGGACATTGTTAGAATACTTTATGGCAAAATCGAATATGAAGTCATATTAGCTGTGGCTCCAACTAGGAACAAGAAACCATATTCAAATTTTGTCTTATGAGTGCCATTATACTTATTGGATTTTCGTATTTTTCTGTTCGGAGCATATAATATACAGGGTGTAAATGATAAGTTTACCCAAACTTTAATGGCGTGTTCTACCGATGAAAATAATCAAGATTTGCTCTATAAAAATTTTTGACATGACGCTTCCCTACGGAGTTACAGGGTGTTAAAGGTTTCAAATATTTATATTATTTTTCCTTAACTTCACTGGCAAAAAGAGATTGAGTAATAAAATTTGGGTGATGAAATTTTTTTACCAAATAAATTGGTATTTCTGGCAAAACAAACATATAAACCATATGAAATAACACATCGTCGTAGTCAGAAAAATTCGCTGAATTCAAATGTACGAAAATTCTATTGTTTCTAGATGCTAGTAGATGCCACGGTTAATACTAAAATTTCTCATAAAAAAGTCCTAACAATGTCTGAGTTTAAAAATTCTTCTGCACCCATTTTCAATTAAAATAGTAAAAACTAAAATCAAAATTTTGAGTTTTTTGTTGAGATGAAAAAGAATAGGTTAAATTTCTCTATGATAAGTTACGAGTATTCGTCATGAAATTCTGCAACTATGCTATTATTTCATCCAACTTATACCTCTTAAGATAACTGAGAACCGAATGGTTCTGACTCGAAGGACGGACACCCTATATATAACAAACTATTATTAAGTTTTAATAATAAAGTCCAATTGCTCTGTATATAACTTTTTAAATAGGTAACTCTTTTCCTAGCAATTTATAACCCAACTTTATTATATAAAATTAAAATAAAATAAAAATAAACAATAGAGTGAATAAATAATGGCAATATATTTTAAAAGTAATACAAATTTGCAATTCAAATTATAATTAATATTTTATAATTGTTAAATTAAAAATGCATTCATTTACATTTCAACTCATTAAAATGCTTTTTTTTATTGGTACCCTATTTTGCTTATTTAAAGCACGCCCCAGTGTTTAAATCCAACTTTTAAAAACGCGCATGTTTTAAAGTTACCATGGCAACATCAAGAACCCGAGAAACGTCGAGTCTAAATGTCACCTTTTTAATTATTGATCTGACAGAAGTACCTTGTAACGTCAAATAAAATATTACTAACAAATGTTTCAAAAGCTTTATTCAAATATTTAACATCTTAATTATTTAAATGAATGTGAAATGTGCAGTTGGTATTGTTTGAAATATTAATACCTACTTTGGTTTTTTAAATCAGATGAAATGCTGTTCAAATTAATACATTTGACATTTTCTAAAGATAAGCAAGCACAACTCGTTCATCTGTATTTGTTACCCTTTGCTCTTCCATCCTTCGATGAACTTGTATTCTTTTCTATAAGCGATTTTTGCGGTATTAATCGCGATTCTGCTTTACTATTTAAGTAATCAATGTTAGAAGTCATATCTTAATAGTTAATATCCACTTATACTTTAATATACTATTCTAGCTGCTTCTAGTATTTTTAATTGATATTTAACAGATAAAACTAATAGCATTAAATTACTAGATTAAGTGAATTAGGAATTGTTTACAGTCTAGTAAAATTTTAAACTTTTACAACATTAAAAAAAAAATAGCTGGGCAGAGCCCACCAAGCTTACCTTGTACTTAGTGCAAAATAAAAAATTTATTTGTCATGAAACCATGAGATGCATCAACGGACATTTTGTATTTGCAATTAAAAGCTTTATTGAGAAATTCTAATCATTTAAATTAATTCAGAAAGTTTCTTATGAATCCTATTGAACGAATGCTTTTGGGTATCAAATAAATATGCCAAAAAAAATCCAAATTCATAGATAAGTTAGTAGTTAATAGGAATAAGTATATAATTACATACACACTTGACTTATTACCATTATTAACATTAAATAATGCAAATTTTGAAAGAAATATATTTCCGCATATTAAGGGTTGATTTTTCAAGCAATTCAGTTTATTTACTGACCCTTCTCAACGAATTAGACAAAATTACCAGTTCATATTTATACAACATGTAAATGTTTTTTGTATATTTTTTGTGACAGCAAGAAAATTTCCTAAAACTTATTATAGATATTTACTAATATTTACATAAAAAGGCAAAAAAGATAAAGAGAGTAGAATGTTACGTAAATATCTCTGTCCAGTTAGAAACTTTCAAATTTGAACAAAAACATAATATTGCATAGGTGGCCATGGTCATTAACAAGGACATTTAAATAAAGGGGACTATGCATATCACAGTCTATCTCATATGTTGGGTGAAGCTAGGCAAGGGCAAAGCAGAGGGCTTTATTTTCATCCAACTGATGCGCGCGATTACATCTCCAATGTCGTACGTTTTGGAAGGGTCAAAATAAAATATTTTATAGTCCTAAGTCAATATATTTCAACAGCTACTCAGTATTTTTATAATAAATATATATAATATTTTTATAACTTCTTGGAATCCCAATAACTGTAACCATTTCTTTCTTGTTGCACCATCCCCAAGCATCCTAAAAACGTTCACATTTCACTTTTAGAATACTGAGGCAAATTTTCAGTGAGACATAAAAATATATTCCCAAAGGAGAACATCAAATGGTTGAATGAATGCAACTTTCAGTTGATTGCATCTTCGGTATTTTTATGTATAAGTGAACCACCACCATATTTTTGCTGTTGTATTTATTCAGTTTTTATGCTCGTGCATTTAGTAAAATTGTAAATATATTTTTGAAAAGGTTTTTGTCGTAGAGGAAAATGAAAATGATGAATGATTAAAATTTGTAATGTTGGGTATAAGGGATAACATTGAAATACCTATAAATATATTAAATATAAATAATGTCTGTAACTTATTTGTGGTGCAGCATTTTCCTTTGATTTTAATGGCCAAACGTGGTTCATATTATTGTTTTCTTACTATTTCAGCAAAAATTTTAAAAAAATACCAAGTCAGTTTTATAAAATTTTACCGTTATTCAAATAAAAGTTACCCACACGCACGACAATGGCCACAGTTGCATATACATTCCAAAGTCACCTTCAAGCACGCTTACCTGTGGAAGGATAGCTGATGTGGATGTTTATAATCCAATTTCTTACAAATTCTGCACTGTCTAACCATATTCACACCTTAAAAGTTTATCCAAAATACATGTATAAACACTAATCACGTTTCACTTACTAAAATCACAACTATTTTCTAACAAGAGACGCCATATTCTGCCAACCACGGCAGAACGAACGAGGAACACGCTACAAATTATTGCGTAGTTGCCAAGTCTTCAAACATGGCAAATATGAAAAATGAAAAATAGTTTAATATGTACAGAATTTAACAATATTGTATGCATAACTTAATAATACTATCCTATAATAATAATTTTCACAATTGTGATGAAAATTGCGATAAAAATATTAAGTACATTTCCAGTATAATTATACAGCTGACAACAATGATACAATTAGACTGTGAATAGACCAGGCTTCATCTAGAAATGTAAATAAATAAGTCCCCTTTATTTAAATGTCCTTG